AAAATCATTATTTCATTATGTTCTACACATTAAACTAAACAAATTGATATATAGAAGTATATGTTAATTTATAAGGGCATAAAAGTTATTAAATTAATTTTGATTTGCATTTTTTCTACATTTCCTGTACTATTCAATTATTAAAGTTCCTGAGGCATTTATTAGATTTTTCTATTTTCCACTTTCCCATGCTGCAATAGTTTGATTAGAAATAATTTCAATGAGGGGGCAGTGGGGGCTGCTGCGGCTAGAACTCTAAAATCAGTGAAGGAAGAGAAGAAGAAAAAAAAGGAATAAGAGGAAGGGGACTAGGGATTAGGTGAGAAATTTGGTTTAAATTAAGAGAAATATAATTGAGGTAAAAATCTATTTGATCCTAATGAATGTAGTTCGAGATGGTTGTTAGTGAGAAATGTATCTATCCAGATTTTTCTTCTCTGTTATACCTAAGTTGACTGAGGGTCAAAAAGGGATGTGATAGCATTCACCAAGTTCTACAAGATACCCTTCTATGAAGTAACCCATGGTTGCAGACAATGATCATTCAATTAGGTTGAGTCGATTATCTCCTTTAACTAAGTAGCTAGAGACCATAACAACCCGAACTAATGAAAACATGAGATATTGATAATGTTCTTTGTCACTCCCCCACCATGTGTTTCAAGTGCAAGGTAATAAATTTTTAATCATAAACATCAACTCCTAAAAAATCTAAAAACAGTTATTACTATGTGCTATGTACTTAACTTATATCTAATAATTAGCCTTAATCGAAAGTGCTCTCCTGTCTAAGAAGTGTGATTAATTATAGGATCTTGCACCTATGAAAAATCTAAACTCAAATTTAAAATCTTCACAAATGAGGGTGAAATCTTTTAGTAATGTTTTATCTCCAACCTACTCTATTTTCCAAAAATTTATCTTATAACTTAATTAATTAAAACTCTCCTCGAATCATGCGAAGAGCCCAGAGCACTAAATTTCTAAAGCCCGCAATTGAATAAGTTGACCCATCAAGAGAATCCAATAATTTGGATGAGATACTCAACTTCTAATAAATGAGCCAATTATTCCTAGGCCTATATTTGTAAATCCATTCAATTTTATTTAATTATGATGTGTATGAGTATAGAATTTTCTTCATATTTAGCATGCTACACACTAGATATTATCAAAAAATCTATTATATTTTATGTGAATGCTTATTCAAATGATCTCAATAATTCAAATTATAAGACTGTGTAACAGGTGCATATTAATATTAAATTGTAAATATTATCAAAATGATGTTAAAAATACCAAAGCCAATGAATGACATATCATGGAGAATAGGTTGGCATGGTATGATGAATCCGCACATGAAAAGTTAAAAGTTCTGATGAGATGAGCCTCATTAAAGAAATGTAAATGATTCCCGACACATAACTCTCTAAATTGAAATGGGCAAACTTAGAATCGAGGGCTATTGATAACTACAATTCTATACTGACCAAAATTTATCAATAGCTATTATAGTTGATGGGCTAACTGACGACCAAATGATATAAATGATGCAAAAGCCTATATAATTATCCATGATATTTTTAAGAAAATGACAAGTATAAATTAAGAAGGAAAGGAAAGTGAAACAAGTAATTACATAACAACCATTGACTATTATAATGCATTAAACAATTTGATACTTTACAGATATACATCATTGTTTTACAAATATTCATGTTCATTACACATAATCAAGTCTTTTTCTTCTCAAATCATCAAAGCAAGTTTAGAATTAAAAGGGTTGCATTAAGCTAGTTAAATTATGAAGAAATATGTTCAAATTAGTTTATATGATCAACATAATATGTTATATTATTGTTTTGTATGTATGAACATTATATTAAAATTGTTTATCTCATTAGGCATCTAGCTCTTTAGATTTTATAAATGTAGCTTTCAGGGAAGGGGAAGAAGCAATTAGGGCTATAGGCATGTGATTAATTTTGTACGGCATAATAACCTTTTTCGGTGTACAATTTTGAGATGTATTATAGAAGAAAAGATATATGATATGGATTAAAAATTTTTGGCATGCAAAAAAATTATATTTAAAATTATTTAAAAACTCTATATTTGATTTAATGATTTTGTTCATGCATGCTTCCATATGAATGGCAATGTGATCTATCAGCTGACTATAAAGTGCAATGTTGACTTTGTGGTAAAAGAGCTAGACAAATTTTCAGTCCTTCAATCCTGACTATTAGGACGGGTGTTGATGATAAAAACATATGATTAGATCGTCCATTTCTATAACGCATCATGATTGACAAGGGGTCAAAATGAGACATAACAACCTGGGTTCTCGATTGCGACATTTTTTTTTTGTTTTTTTTTTGAGAAAATGCAAAGTTGCATTAGAAAATTGCGACATTATTTAAATCCTCAATATTTAGTCTCCAATAGTTAAGTTTTTTCCGTGATGAAAGCCCACGCTCAAAGTACCGGCTTGAGAGCTAATTTAACTGTTCTTAGTAGTGTGCCTCTAATAATTGTGCATCTGAGTTGACATGTTTGACCATCTGGATACCACGGGATGCATCTTGAAAATGGGTCAAATCTAGGGCTTACATGAACTTCCTTTGTAAGACATTGAACATGGTCATCTAATTTATAATTAGAAACAAAATCTTAGATAACATAACTCAAAATTTGAAGGTCAGAAAAACACAAAAAATAATAAACTGTGACAATTATTTGAAGTATTTTCATCCTCAACTAAAATGTAGAATTCCTGGTAAGGCAAGTGGTGAAGAAGACAAAACCTAATAAAGATCACCATTTATTTTGCTAGATGAAAAGTGGAATTTGAAATTTTAGATTACTTGTTCAGTGTTTCAATGAATGTAAGTAATATAAATTGATTGACTTCAAAATATGTTTGGAATGGCCAGCCTTCAAAATAGTTTATAACTCGAGCATAAAATGGTCAGCTCGTCTTATGCATAATTACGGCAACTGTAACATTGGAAACTTCACATACGCTTAGCCTAGCTCAGCATTCAAACGAATCTGTGATTTAAATGGGCAAGTATTAGAAAAAATTATCAAAATGATCCCTTGAATCTTTATAAGAGATCAAAATGGTCCTCAACTATAATAAAGGACCATTTTGATCATTCAACTCTTTAAAGATGAACCAAAATAGTCTCACCATGAGACTATTTTGATTCTTTTTTAAGGACTTGAGGGAGAATGATGAGGACATCGAAAATCAACGGCTACGATCGTGTCTATTTATTTTCATGTATTTTATTTGTTATTTGTACTTTTCCATTTCTACTCTCACTTGAGGACTTTGTTTTATGTTTGCCCTAGGGGCAATTGTGTCTTTTATTTTCCCTCATGTATTTGGCTATTTAAGCCCTCCCCTTCCTCTTGGAAGGGGATGATGATTATTGATAATGAAAAGTTTTATGTTCTTGTTGATCTCTTAGTGAGTTCACGTGATCTCTTAGTGAGTTCATGAGAGGAGAAGCCCGAGGAGGGAAATTCGCAATACCCGTCAATCTTTGGAAGAGTCCGAGGTTCGCGGTTCTTATGATCTCTGTGTGAGTTCGTTAGTTATCTCTATCTTTCTCGTATATTTTGGTTATCTCCTTTCTCCCATCTTCATGCACATTCTTCTTCTCCTCCATTGACTACCGCGAGCCAAGTCAAGAGTGGAAGAAGCCGAAACCTCCACTAGCATCTCCACCCTAGCTCCACCCGCCGGCCACCTTGCCACCGGCCTCTCCCCTCGCCGCCATTTTTCCCCCACACCTCCCTCCCCTAGCCTTCCTTGGAATTTGAATTTCAAAATTCAAATTCTTTCCAAATTTGGAAATTCCATTTATGAAAATTTTTCGAATGAATTCAAATTATAAATTAAATTAATTTGGATTTATTTAGAATTTTCCTAGTCATCATCCATGTTTGGAAATCCCCCTCCCTCTCCCTCCTCCAATTTTGAATTTCCCTCATTAATGACTTTCCTAATTAAGCCAAATTAAATTAGGGAATTAATTAAGGGGAGTTACAATCTTTTGAAATTCAAATTTCCTCCTAAATTTATTTAAATTAGGGAGTTACATGATGCAATTAAAATCTGAAATAAAAATTCAGATTTTGATTAATTACTAGTGGTCCCCACGTACTTAAATCTCAAGCCTCTCTCTCCTATCCAATTAATGCCCCAATTAAACCACCAATCAAATCATTAATGCTCCCATAACCTAGCCGGCCCCTTCCCCTTTCACTCCAAATTAGTTTGTGACATATTTGGCATGCTCCATAAGTAAGGAATTTAATTCCAGATTCTTCTC